TTTTGAGACGGAGTCTCCCTCTGTCGCCCAGGCTGAAGTGCAGTGGTGCGATCTTAGCTCACTGTAGCCTCCGCCTCCCAAATTCAAGTGATTCTCCTGCCTCAGCCTCCTAAGTAGCTGGGACTACAGGCACCCGGCTACTTTTTTTGTATTTTTAGTAGAGACGGGGTTTCACCACGTTGGCCAGGATGGTCTCCATCTCCTGACCTTTTGACCTACCCACCTTGGCCTTCCAAAGTGCTGAAATAACAGGCGTGAGCCACCATGCCCAGCCACCCTCAATTTTTTTAACTGTGGTGAAATATACCTAACATAAAATTTGTAATTTTAGCCATTTTAAAAGGTACAATTCACAGTGGCATTAAGTACAAGATGATGGTTGTACAACTAATATTTTGATATTATAAACTTTACCCCCATCAGACAAATCTGCCTCCCCAAAGAAAGCAAGCACACTGGTTTATCACATCCCCTTCCAAGTTGCAATGTGCTCAAATATGGAGTGCCCTTCCCTCTGCAGGGCAATTCTCCATCAGAACTAAAGCTACAAACTTTGGATTCACCACCCTATCCCTAACAAGGACTTCCCCTTCTCCTCACTCTGTGCTATGCCTCTCAAACCTGCCAAAACACTCTTCTTACAGCTCGAAGTGTCCTAGCCTAGGACCTAGCATGTGAGACATCAATAAATTTGTATTATAATAAAAAATGCTAAGTAGATGCATTTTTAAGGGCCTCATGTTGTTTCAGGGACCACTTGATACAAATCATGTGGTAAAAATCACTTCTCAATTGATGTAGCTGCCAGCAGCATGGGGACATAGTGATAACAATAACAACAACAGTAACAGCAACAGTAATAATTCACATTGACTGAGCCCTTCATAAATACTAAGTACCATTTTAAGTTCTTTACTTTTACTACCCTATCTTCCTAACAGTCCAGAGAGGTAGGTCTTAATGTTACTTTATGATTTTACAAATCAGAAAACAGCCAGAAAAAAGCTTAAGTAACGCATCTGAGTTTATGCAGTAATAATGTTAATTCAAGCTTACAAAGTCTTATTCCAGAGCCTACTTTCAGCCTACCACACTGCCACTGAAGGAACAATGTCAAAACTGACTTCCAGAAAACCTTATGTAATTGGCTGAAAATCCACCTTTAAAAATACACTTACTCTTCAGCATAATCTGCACTTGATTTAAATATTAGGTATTTTACTTAAATTATTCCTGCTTTCAAATTGGTAGCCTTTCATACTCCTAGAAGCAAGCACGACCTGCAGATCTTGGGATACTCTAAAGCTAACAATTCAATATTTACTACTTGACAGGTTTCTTTTTTTTTTTTAATGCAATAAAATGGATCAGACCAAGCCTCAAAAACAACATACCATCAGAAGTTCTGTTCATCATGGGTGAGCCTCTGGACATGGTATTTTGATAACTCACAGGGGTCCTCCGTGCACTGGTGTCATCGTAAATCCCGGGGCTCAGTTGTGCTTTGGGAGCTTCATGTAGTGTGGACCTAAGAACGGAGGGGCCAGAGCTTACCACTGATGTGTGTCGGGAACGCACGGGCTCGCCTGCTTTCACATCTTCGTATTTTCCCCGTTCTACCACTTTTATGTTCTCTGGCACAATTTCCAGCGGAGGCATTCCACGGGATAGTTTGCTAGGCCCCGTGATTAAGGATTTGACATTGTGTTTGATGGCAGATTGACCTGAGTTGCTGTCAAACTTTATTGGTGTGCCCTAAGGGGAAGGAAACAAACATTACGGTGGCAAAGTCATCTGCCTATTTTTCTATCTCAGGTCTCTGTCTGGCCCATGGCAGTTACAGTTCGCTGGGGTGACCTTTTTGTCTGTTTGGACATCTCAATCACAACCCCAGTGATCCCCTGAGCTGCCTACTTTCCCACATTCCACACTCCAGGCTATGGACACAAGAAAACCTGATGATAAGAAGTACACAAAGGCCAGGCGCAGTGGCTCACGCCTGTGATCCCAGCACTTTGGGATGCTGAGGTGGGCAGATCACTTGAGCTCACAAGCTTGAGACCAGCCTTGGCAACATGGCAAAGCCCTGTCTCACACACACACACAAAAAAAACCAGAAATTCTGGGTGTGCTGGTACATGTCAGTAGTCCTAGCTACTCATGAGGCTGAGGTGGGAGGATCACTTGAGCCCAGGAGGTCAAGGCTACAGAGCTGTGATCATACCACTGCACTCCAGCCTGGCCCACAGAGCAAAA